TGGGTAATGGTTCAAAATCAAAATAAAAGAAACAATTTCGAATGTTCACTATAATAGTGACGAAGTGTACATGGTGTATTGGTGATTTTATTATACAATTAAATATATTGATTAATTTCAGGGAGTACCTGTCACCTCTAATTAAATATTACGAGCGGACTCCTTAATTTGTGGATACAAATAGTTAGAAATATTTTGGTCAAACAACTTAGAAATCTCACTAAATTCATTTAATGATGAGCTCAACCATAGTATTATCTTTCCCGTTAGACCACAATAGCAGTCTGTGTTAGCTTTGGCAGCAATGGTGAATTGAGGGGTTTCGTTAATTAGTTGATCCAGAAGCCAATTCCAGGTTGGATGGTTTTCGTCAGTTGATGATTGAATGTCATAAAGATTCATCATTCGAGCTAGATAATAAATTCGAAATGCCAGCACATGCATAATCAGGGCAGATAATTTAAAGTAAAAACAAGAGGAGTTAACCGATAGAAAAGATACGAATACTTTATATACCAATCATATGCCCAAAGAATTTATATATATATATATATATATATATATATATATATATATATATATCTATATATATCTATATATATATCTATATATATATCTATATATCTATATATATATATATATATATATATATATATATATATATAATTCGATAATTCGGCTGACTACGGTACCCTTCAGTATTCGGTCGAGGACTAGTACGGTACCCTGCATCAATCGGCTGAGGTTTGCCGAGTGAGATATATATATATATATATATATATATATATATATATATATATATATATATATATATATATATATATATATATATATATATATATATATATATATATACATCTGATTGGTTTGCTTGCTATCACGTGCAAAATTACATTTTACGATATTGACTTGAGTTACTAAAAATAACTTAGGGAAAATCCAAAGATGTGTTTAATTATAATGGTGAAAAGTCTAAAACTTACAAAGTCCTACATAAAGAATTTGTCTTCTTCTTTTTCAAATAAAATAATAATGTAGCCCTTTGATTCGGTCGACCCATAGGTATATCGATTTCACAGAAAAGCATATTGCCGGACTTTGCACTTCGTGCTTAGTCTATATGCTTTTCTGTGAAGTCGATATGTCTATGGATAGACCTCATAAAAGGGCTATATTTATATAATATATATATATATATATATATATATATATATATATATAATTTTTTACCAGTTCGAGCCGGGGTGCATGCAAAATGGGCATATTCAGAGTAATAAATCCACCAACAAAACGAACATCGACATATGTTACTTTATTTAAAATCTGTCTTTAAGTCTTACCGTGTGTCGCGATTACAAGCTCTCTCTTTTTAATTTAAGGCTTTAAAACACCACGTTTTGCGATCAGTTGTGGGAATGCGTGAAATTGCAGTTGAAGGCAACCTGCTATATGCATATTGTCCATTGTTGCCGAAAGATTTGAAGTTTACACACCGCGAAAGGCAATTAAAATATTGCTTCTGACATTTGGCACAGCGAGAAACGTGAACGAGTCAATCAAATTTTACTAGAAGCGTTTACTAAACAAATGCTATAAAGGTTGATCAATGATATTTAATTGCATGGTATATTAAAAAATGTCATAAAGTATACTTTTTTTTCAAATAACTTTGATCGATGGATATATTTAAATCTGTTTTGCATTTCATAAACTCCTAAAATTTGAGAGAGAGAATTCTGTCCTGCACGTGTGTGTCAATTTGTTGAGCAGGATGTAAGACACGGAATTTAGCTCTAGATAATGTTTAATCAAACAGTTTCTTGGAATGATTCTTCTTTATAAATATATATATTCAAACTGGATTATATTTGTATAATTCTATTTTACGATATTTCAATTATGTATCAATAAAATATGTTTATATTCATTCATTTGTGATCTATTTGAAAGAAAAGGTTGTGCTTCCCCATTTTTAGCAAGATTGTAATATATTTTAGAAATTCTGTTTTATTTTGCCGATAATTTTTCAGCATTTTTGCTTAAGATTTAAATTAAGAAATTTGACACTAAAAGCAAACAAAACAACAAAAACAAAAATATTTTTAAAAATAAATAAGAATATATACGTTACAAGACAATTTTTCTGTTAATGATAGAAGTATACGTAAGACTGTAAGTCAGTACTAACTACTTTTAGTATATCAGTAGATTGTTATTGTTATATTTCGTTTTTGATTTTTCAGAATTCTAAAACTTGTGAATGTAACAAAATTGTTCCGGGTAATTTTAGTAACAGTTGGTGCTGAGTACAATGATACTTAGAACAAGAAAATGGTTAATATGTAACTAATGGATTTGTACTACCGGTATGTTTCTGTGTAACATGCTAGTAGGGCAGGTCTTATTTACATTCTCTTTTCATTAACGCCTCTAGCTTCTGTCGAATGGAAACTGGATCTTTCACAAATCAGGTGAAAAATGTCAAACATCCTCACACGTATTCTTGCATCAATAATAATGTCTTCCAAGGTGATTACTTTACAGAGATCTCCAGTACAATGCGCATGCGCCCTGGTCATTTAAGGGTGTAGGTTACAAATGGCTACTCGCTCAGTTCCGTTAGATTTGACTTAGATACGGCGTATCTTTGCTGTTTGGGTGGCAGATGCATAACTGTGACGTTTGTGTTCCCGGTCTGTTTCTTTATTCTTTTACTTCAGAACCATATGTTTTTCTCAAACAGAATTATATCAAGGAAAACCATCAATTGTTGATCGTCTTTTTCTGCAGACCTCATGAGATATCAAGAAATTCGCCGTTTGATTCTTTACCTTTCTTCTGCTGTATTCTGTTTGAAACATCAGACGTGATTGAAATATAATGATTTTAGATCTCTGTGAACAATTCTTTGAGTTTACCCTGAAAATTATACCGCAAATATCATGCATTATTAGATTTTTAGGCAATATGATAACTTCTAGTATAAAGCGAGTGAAAAAAATACATTCCTAACAAAAGTTATTCTGATCTAAAAAAAATTTGCCAAATCAAACCTCGCCCATCATTCATAAATATACAATTAAGAATAGGTTTCACGATGCTCAAAACCGTCTTGTCCAGCATCTATTCATCGGAACGATGATATCTATGGATATTCCCGGTCAGTCGGGAATATGGATAGTTTTCCATCTAGATGATTTAAGGAAGAGTTATTTCCCCATGGCCGCCATATTGTAGGTCAACATCCCCAGATCCCTTCATTATTCAACCAAGTTCAATTTGTTATACTGGGCACTGAGGCGAAGATGACGCTGTTTTTCTTATGAATATACGTTTGTTAAAGCTTCTTTAATTGATAATCTTAATATTGTAAATATCCCCCCCCCCCCCAATATTTCTGGCTTGCATGTTTGAAATTGGTTGCTCAAAGAGGAAAATCACGGCCAGGAACACGTTAAGTTCCTAGACAGTACCGTTGTCAGAAACCTTTAAAGTTAAGCACTGAAACTGGTTCGTTGTCATGAACATACAGGTGATGTTATGATAAATTCTGTCCGGTGTCATGACTTGAGAAGACAGACTGTGAGAAGTTTTTCATTTTTCAAGTTAAATTATCTATAACAATGTCTGAAATTACAATGGGAAACAGGGCTGACACCTCATTTGGTGTTGTATGAATTTCGGCCGTTCAAAAGAAGTAATAAAAGAAGAGTTTGCGTTGGCGACATTAACCCTGTTGAAATCACTTGTGGATTTGATTCATTTTCCTACCAAGATGTTATATTTTTCGTAAATAGAATATATAATATACACACCAATTGGTGCAGACAGTATCAAGACATGTTGTAAGCCTTTACAGAAAAATGAGAACATTAAAATTGAAAATTTTGATTTATTTCATTTTTTGTCCGTTGTCATGACAAGATACGAAAATTCAGTCCGTTGTCATCGGTCCGTTGTCGCTACTGTACTTTATACACTACGAAGGACGATCTTATGTTGTTTTAGGTATTGTTAAGCATGCCATCAAAAAGAGGAGTGTGACGGTACATATTGTCGTCGGCGACAAAATGTACCTACCCTGACTGCACATATCGTCGTCCATTGGTACATATTGTCGCCGGCGACAATTTGTACCGAGACGAGCCTTTTCTTCCTCCTATTTAATGAAAGACAAAATGTACAGTCAAGCATGGGCACATTTTGTCGTCGGCAACAATATGTACTGTGAACATTTGCACATATTGTCGCCGATATATTGTGTTGAATATTTACTAAGGCTGGCTGAAATTAATTCTACGTTTAACGTCACCTATAAACTTCAAAACCTACGAGGGCGGGAGAAAAAAAATTAAACAAACAGAATTTTCAAACAAATGAGTCGTTACTCATCTACATGAATTAAAATACTGTAAGTATTTGTAATCATGTACAGACTCTTTGTTAAATAATCATTTTCAGTAAACCTGTATCTTTAAATGATAGACTGATTAGACTCAGCTCAAATATACCTCAAAGAGGGCCCAAGTATTGTCTATCTCTATGGAATGTAGTTTTTAGGTGCTAAAAGTAAGAGCAAACCGGAACAGAAACATTAAAAAATGTGGATTTGTTTGTTTTTTCAAAGTGCCAAATTTCTCTGAAACCTACGCGCACGGGTGACGTTAAACATAGAATTAACTTTGGGCAGCCTAAGGTCGTGAAGAGAGAGAGAGAGATATTGACACACATACACAGAGAAAGAGAGAGACAGACAGACAGCTAGACAGACAGAAGAATAGACAAAGTGTTTGGCTGATAAATAAGTTAACAAGTTGTATTTAGCATTACTCGCAATACTGTAGGGAGAAATGGTGTTGCTCAGAAAATTGTGTCCAGCATTGGTTTACTTGACTATGATATGTTAAAATACCGTAGTTCTTGAGATATCTGAAAAATCAGTCTATTCTTTTTTTCTCATTAGATATACATGGATATTAGATTGAAAGTTATTTGTTCAGTAGTAATGTTATCTGGAATTCATTTTTTTTTTTTTTTGCTTAATTCTCATACGAGTGCCGATATAATTGGTGTATGAGTTGACATATTTTTAGCTCACCTGAACTGATAGCTCTAGTGAGCTTTTCTGATCACATTTTTGTGTTGTCCTTCTGTCTGTCGGTAAACTTTTCACATTTTCAGCTTCTTTTCAGGAACTACTGGCCAATTTCAATTTCAACCAAACTTGCCAGAAAGCAAACATGGATAAAGGGAGTCAATTTTGTTCAAACTAATGGTCATGCCCTCTTTCAAGGAAGTACATGTATAGTTAAGAATTAGTGTAAATTTAGTGACATCTTTAAATAATCTTCTCAAGTATCATTGTGTCAGAAAAGTTGAAACTTATGTGAAAGCTTTATTATAAAGTGTAGATTCATTTTTATTCAGATCATATCTGGGGAAGGGGGGGGGGGCTACAATAGGTGATCAAAGTTTAAATAGAATATTTAAGAATAACTCTTTCAAAATTTTCTTCTCAAGAACTTCTGGATCAGAAGAAATGATACTTATGTGAAAGTACATAGTGTACTTTTAATTTTGTAGATTCTGGCACGAAAAAGATCCCACACTTCTCAATGGCCCTGAGTTCCGAGAACAGGTCTAAATTTTTGGCCCTCCACCGGCAAGTGGTGATGTCTCCTTATGAGTGAAAAATTTTCTAGAGGGATATTAAAAATACAAACAAACAAACAAAAACAAATTCAATTTTGTTCAAATCATAACCCCCATGGGTAGGGTGGGGGCATAATTGGTGATAAAAGTTGGAATATACGGTATACAGAAATTCTTTAAAAATCTGCTCAATAACCAAAGGCGGATCTAGCACCGGCGCATACTAGCTAGGATGCAGGTTCCTAAGAGAAAATGAATTGAAAATAAAAACATCGCAGAATAGTTAACAAGTTCGCGTGAGCTGCTTTAAGACGAACCCTAGATTCAATATTATCTGTAATATGATTTGTATTCTTTTAAATTAAGCATATATTTGATCATTTCTGTTGCATTTTATTGATTTACTTGCATGTTAAGAAAAATGACACCGGACCAGATAAACTTAACATGTACTGACAAAGGACTTTTTGCTTATAAATTGCGATTTCTTAAAACATGTTAGCTACAAAAGGCTGTCAGTTGCCTAATACATTTAAAATGAAGTTTCTCTTCATATTTTAAAATAAAAGTACCATTTCGATGAATTAAATATAAGAAATATATAATTTTCCAGCTCACGATCATGCCCTCACACATGGGCATGTGATCGCCAACCAAAACTCCTCAAAATGTGTTAAGATATCAAATACATAAATCTTTGTATGGAATACTGAATGTTGTATCTGTTTCCCAAAATTCAAATTTATTCTTAGAATTCGTCAAAAACGTTAAATTTTAGGCATTATGTATAAATTCTTGTATCTTTTGCATGACACCGGACAGATTTTATCATAACCTCACCTGTATGTTCATGACAACGAACCAGTTTCAGTGCTTAACTTTAAAGGTTTCTGACAACGGTACTGTCTAGGAACTTAACGTGTTCCTGGCCGTGAAAATTCACTACTAGTACTCTGACCTAGAAGATGGCGGGCAAGGGGAATAGCTCCGAGGCAAGATACGTCATAGGCAATCTATCTATTCATAAGATCCTTCTTAAAGAGCAATGTTACGTGACTTTACGTATATTTCGATAGAAAAAATACTTAGCACAAAAATGCATTTATTTTCTTGCCCAAATCTAATTTTGATAATTACAAAATTAAAACCGTCAGATTTCACTGGAAAATTGCAAAGAGTCAATTAAAAACAGCTTTTGAAAGTCTTTGCTAGGTTTGTACGAGGATAAAAACATCCTCAGGTAGTGTAGATTCAAGTTTTTAAAATCATGGCCCCAGAGGTAGAGTGGGCACTGTTCTGAAGAACAGTAAGGTGTTCTGTAGAACAGTACGACCAAGGTAGCTCAAGTGAGCGTTGTGGCCTATTTTCCTCTTGTTACTCTGGCAATCGGAATTTAAATTCTGAATTTAGAAATAGAACATATCTTTGTAATTTCAAATAAACACACAGAGGTTTTAATGACATTGTTTTTTATTAATCTTGAATGGGATGGTCAACCAAGTACTGATTATGAATAAGCTTTCAACAAAAAGGAGGTATCCTAATTCGATCATTTTTCCTCTTAAATATTGATACATCTTGATACATAGAGGTGCGTTTGGTTTTGTCACTGTAACATCTGCCTGAGGCATTAAACACAACGACGTCAGTGTGTTTTATTTTTCATTTATTTTAACATTTCAAAAAGGTCCAATATGACCAATATAGCTTAACCAGAGAAGCAACATTCACTCAAGCTTGTGAAATAGATTCACTGAAGTTCACATTCTACGTACAACATTCACTCAAGCTTGTGAAATAGATTCACCAGAGTTCTACAACATTCACTCAAGCTTGTGCTGACTAGTAAAAGAGCAAGCGTTTTTATACATGTCAATAAGTTGGGCATATCAACAATATCATACCTCATTATATTATCTTGGAATTTTTACCCCAGGTATTCAATGAAAAAGAAAATACACTTGTATCCGACATATACAAAAACTGATTAGCATGCTACGTACATGTATGATTCATCAAATATGGTCCTTGTAACTCTGAAGTTTACATGTGATTTCCAAAGTCTTGTAATACAGTGTCACAGTATCCCAACCAATGAGAACAAAATCCAGTTATTTGTTTTTTTTTCTTTGAGAAACTTTTTACACATGATGACATGCTTCTCAATAAAATTATTGCAATGGGAATACATAGGTAATATTTATATATATCCAGAAAAGGTGATTTTGATTATGTCAGATCTACTGCATGATTTGCTGCAATAGTGTGGGCCTCCAAAACTTCGATAAAAATTTTGATCAATATGTTGTGTTTTTTTTTCCAGTCATTTCCACAGAACTCAGTGGCCACACAAATCATAATGCACTTAATCCTGAGATATGATTATAGTGATATATGTCTGAATACACATAAAGGTATTGTAAAACAAGAATGCCCATGTTAAAACTGACTAAATTCATTTTAAAGATTACAATAGCAGTGTACATTTCTCTCTCATAGAGATCCTTGTAATAATGTGTTGCGTGATATATTGAGAAAACTTCCACTTAAAACCACTCTAAAATATATTAGCAATAAAACAAACAACATTGTACTAATATATTGAAGAGTTTACAAAGTAAACATTCTATCTTACCGTCCTGTTCCATCAACATGAATTTTTACAAAATGTGAAAAAAATGTTTTTCTCGTACATTTACAAACACATCAGTAATACCAGACAATATATTAATCAAAACTGTCAATGTCAAAGGACTCTTACTCCACAGTTTTTTTTAAATTAAAATATGCAGTCAATGTGACTTGTTCCTATATATATACATACATGATATAATTCAAGCAATGCATATTAATCACAATACTGCAATCCCAAATTATATCATAGATTACACATAATCAACGAACTGCAGTGCATGTGTTCACAAATCTTTCCTACGCTATACTAATTCTTGTCTGAATTTACACAAAATCAATGATTTACAAAGGCTTTATGTACAATCAAGGGAATAAAAAGTCAAACTTTGATATATTCATTGCATAAAAACAAACATTTGCTACAAGAGGTAATGCATTGATGCATACTGAGCAAAAGCCACATGAACATCACAACACTGCTATAAATTCACATTATCATGTCATCAACTCCTGCTTCATGTCATAAAAATGGTCAGCTTTTAAATTATATATATAAAAAAAAGACTTGAATAAATAAAACAAAGGCAAGAAAGGAATGTTGGGTAACAATAAAAATTCAGAGCTCTGTGACCGGGGATACACAGTCTGGATCTACACATGATCAGGGATAGTTACAAAATACACAGGGCCAGTGAAAAGTCAGAATCTACTGTACAGACAGTACACCCATGGATATAGTCTGGATCTACTGTACAGTACACCACACACATGGCCAGGGATACAGTCTGCATCTACTGTACAGTACACCATATACATGGCCAGGGATATAGTCTGGATATACTGTACAGTACACCACACACATGGCCAGGGATACAGTCTAGATCTACTGTACAGTACAGCATATACATGGCCAGGGATATAGTCTGGATCTACTGTACAATACACCACACACATGGCCAGGGATACAGTCTGGATCTACTGTACAGTACACCATATACATGGCCAGGGATATAGTCTGGATCTACTGTACAGTACAGCATACACATAGCCAGGGATATAGTCTGGATCTACTGTACACACAGTACAAAATACAAGTAAAATATGGCACCAAACTGAATGAACTGAACCATTTGTAAAAGATTAATCAAAATCAACTGAGAATATGTGGATGAATGAATGTGAATGAGGATTATCACTGTAATCTTGTTATTATTGCTTTGTACTAATGTCTCTCCATCAACTCATATAGTGGACTCTCTCTCTCTCTCTCTCTCTCTCTCTCTCTCTCTTACAGAAACACACACACACACACACCCTCTCTCTCACACACACAATCATGTATACATTGCTTGACTATACCATAACAATTGAAGACATTGATTATAATCAAATACTTAATATATCAAAACCAATGGATTTTTTTTCAATTTTCATATCACAATTAAAACCTGCATCTCTTTTTGATAGACTTCTGTCATGATCAATTGGCTACTTTGGTAATAAAACAATTCCTAAATTATCACACCAGCTATAAGAATATGTTAGGACAAGCTGACCAATCACCTTTCTCTTTACAATTCCAGTATCGTCCATTGTACATATGTATGGGACTTCCTGTAATAGAGTCTTGTTTCATTTCAAACCACACTGCCTGGTATCCTTTAACTGGTTCTCCTGAAATAATCAATACACACAATATTTTATAAAGCGATATGCGATATATTGGATACTTTAACAAGTCTATCAAAAAAGTCTTGTTAATCATTTTATGCAAATATATAAAAACTGAATGTTTTATAACCCATTTCTAAGTTCTTTTCTCACTGTCATTACAAAATACACTTCAAATTCCAACTTTTTAACAACTGTAAAACCAACATGTTAAAATATAGCTGTCATGTATTTTGTAATATTTATTATGTGCTATCTCCTTCATGTTTATATCATTATTGATCAGTTTTAATTAAAAACAGTTAAATATAATCTTCGGCGATTGAAATTCCCAACGTTTTCACAGAATTATAAGAAAAACTGTCTGCCCGATACGTATTGGAAGTTATTTTTTCGATACGATACATTCTTGAATATCGATACGGATCGATATATCAATATATTGATACAACCCTAATTAACTTCCTTATCCACTAGCCATCCATCTACCCTGTCATTATCCTTATTACCCACTAACTATCCCTGAATTCCTATTCATCTTCCTTACCCACTAACTATCCCTCTACTTTTCTTCCTTTCCCACAAGCTATCCCTCTACCCCTTTTATCCTCCTTACCCCTTTTGGCTGCCTCCTCTGCCTCAGCTTCACGTTTTTTCCTGGCAGCCCTCTGTTTTTCTTCTAGCTGTAGTTTGAATTTATTGGCTTCGTCCCATTTTCCTTCCTCCATGGCCCGCTGATCTGGTCTCAGACGGGAGTCTGTCGGTGCCACGCCTTCCTCCGGTTCATTAAGTGTCACAGCCAGTGATGTGAAATTATACATCTTCTCTGCTCCTGGCCTGTAGGTAAATGTTAAAAGAAAAAAAGGAGAAATTATAATAAGTTTTCTTTTAATTATTTCAAATGCAAAATTGTTTCTTTAAAATTGTGTTCTTTGAAATTTTTGCCTCTGAATCATTTTTGTTCTTTTCACCCTCATTTGGCAAAAAAAAAAAACACTTTGTTTTCATAATATACTCTAAAGGAGAAGAGTATATCTATTAAAATGCAATTGCTAAAAAATAATTCTAAGAAAAATTTGCCTGCATATGTTAAATGAGACCAACAAAAATATAAATATTTTATAAAGACAATGAACTCACGGTAATGGCCTCTTCTCCCAGATACAGATGTGTGGGCCCGTCTCAAACACAGGCTTTCCTTTGTTGGACTCGTCAATGTGCACCACCTTGGCGGCCTCCATTCTTTTGTCCCAGGTTCCTGTTAGGACCCACTTAGCAGCACCCTCTTGATCGGTCACCACCCCCGTAACCTGTCATAATCAAGTATGTGTATATATTTGTCTTACATTTTGAAGTCTGACATACTTTTAACGTGATCATTTTTCCGAATTTATCTCAAAAGCTCTCTTTGGAACAAACTTTTTCATATATCAATCTAAAAATTTTATTGAAAACAGGACATTAAAAATTTACATGTATCTCTCACCTTTCTTGGAATTTCTCTGGAGAAGTAACTATAGGCAGAGTACTTGAGATGACATTTGTCTTGTGTTTTGTGATTGGTTATATCCATTTCACCATGGTTATCCACCCATAACTTGCCCACAATGATGTTGTGAACAGTTGTGGTAACTTTTCTCCAGGTGTAATGATTGCCTGACTTCTTAAATACAAGGTGGGCTATACCTACACAGAAATAACAGGAAATGATCAATGTAACAAGCAGTGGCCAGGTCCTGGGCAAACCTGCTCGCTTAAGTCTGTCTCAAAACTATAAACCAATTTCAGGTGCTGCTTTCATGTCTAATTTATAGCAAACTAAAGTTACCTAGTACTATGTTTCAATTTGCGACAGTAAGCAATAAGGGTTATGAATTTTCAAAGATTTTTATACAGAATGCATTTCCTATTTACAATCTCCTGCCTAATTTTATTTTATACCTTTTTATCCATGGAAGAAATACTCTCTGCTAAGAAAGATAACTCAATTTCTGACAAATTTTTTCTTCAAATTTTGACCTAGACCGTATAATACTAAAATTACTTGAATTTTACATTTTATTTTATCGCCACCTTTCTAAGGAAATTGCAATAACAGAAAAAATTCCAAATTAGTGATTAGAAGCTTGGCTTAGACTTTGAGATATTTCTTATTGGAAATGTTTATTATAATTCCTTGATTTTTATGGTTAGTCCCAAGAATTGTGTACAATCTATCTAAACATGCACCCAATTACAAACATGCCTGGTACATGTTTATCATTCCAAGTCAATAAACTATTCAAATGACAGAGTAAATCTTCAGTGAAATTGTGAAACAGAAAAACAACAACAAAAGCTTGAATAAGATATAAATTCCTTTGAATTTAATGTTATCCCTGACAACACAGTGCAACACGATAAAGCATTGACTAGTATATACATTAATGTGACCATGTGTCCAAAATAGTCATGTGGACTCGGTATACTGTTTGAACCATTAACCCCATACTTCATTAGGGGATGCAAGTGGGCTGATAAAGAAATCTTCAAATCGTTTATTCAAAGGTCAGGTCAAAGCAGTCAGAGGAGTTAACAATATTTTTGAGCTCTTGGATGTACCCTCATTATAAGTGGCTGAAGTACAGTTTGCAAAAGTAACTCTCAAAATGTCCTGTTTGTCAAAACAATCCTTGTTACCATAATAAGTTCTGACCTTTTACCAAAAAAATTCAATAGGCTTCTTCCTGTGTTCACTTCATTCCTGCAGTATGTATGAGACTAAGAAAACCAATGTCACTCTTAAAACAAGAAACGCATGTCACTATCTTGACCTTGATCTTATGACTCTTTTGCAAAAGGTTTCAAGTACCCCTACAGCAAGTATAAGCCTGGACATCAAATGGTTAACTTTACAACTGTGTCCACTATATTCATATGAATGCATTAACATACAAACTGACCAAACACCATATCTCCTCACAACTTTGTTGTAAGGGGGAGGAAGACAAATGCATTTGTGCTTGTCTCACTCTGGAATATGGCTTGACCAACAACACAAATTTCTAAAGACATAGTGACTAGACAATTATAAGGAAGCAAGCAAGACAGATTAAGACTGTGTACGTGAGTAGGGATAAGAATGCATAACTTTACCAAAAGCCATTCCCTTTACACACAGATGGCTACTTAAAGAATTCAAACGTATTACCCTGGGGTGTTATTTGAAAGTAACTGCCCTTGAATTTACTAGCTATAGCCATCTCCTGGTAGAGTATCCATTCTCTTCCCTCTCTGTGAACAGCAGCCAAAGGGGGGTGATGGCCCACCTTAAAGTCAGGCAAAAAAATCAACCAAAGTCACCAAAAGAAAAAGACCCTGTGAATGTATTCTGTATCAAGCAAGAAAGCATAGCAAAGTAAAGCTTTTAAGATTATATAAAAGATTATATAAATAAATAATCTATATTTTTTATGAAAGCATGTGAAATAATGAAAATGTAAAAATAATTCTAAGGTACTCTGCTTTGCTCTCTTGTTTGTCTTCCAGGAGTGTTTCAGGTAAAAAGGATAGTAGACAAGATGCTATTTCATATGGTTGTTTACCTTGCTGATAAAAAAGAAAATACATACTATTAAAGTGCTTTATCATTTGCCACAAAATCATTTTTATAATTACTCATTACTGAAATGGCATCTTATCTAGGAGTCTATACAGCAGGACCAGCACCTAGGATCTAGAGGTTACAAAGTCGTCAACACTCTGTGAATTTGCACTTTCTTACCAAGAGGAATAATTTGGAGATATTTTCCTCGAAATTTGCTCCCCATTGTGAATTCCTGCCACAATGACCATCCATTGCCCTCTGTATATTGGGAGGCTGTGGGCGGATGGTGGCTAACCTAGTATTACAAACAACCAATCAAATTCATTTTACCTTTCTTAGCCCAATGCTGGGTCAGTGTCCAGTCAGGAGTGTCTCACAATTATTCATATTATATACATATATAATTACACTAGTTGGTAAAAATCTTCTTCCTTTTTTTTTTTGCTAAACATCAGAAAAAAGATGATTTATTTGACATAATTTTCAAATCTCTATAATTACCAGTACAATGTACTTTTAAAACTACACAGTGTGATGGACTCTTCTTCTAGGCATACAAGAAACTTACAATAAACACTGAATAAGACAGTAATTCCTTTCACTTTCAGCCTGTAGGTCTTTTAAAATAAGTTAAATAAGACAACTCAAGAGAATAAAATTACTTGCAAGAAATCTAAATGACTGGACTAGTTGTGAACCTTTCCAGATCATTTCTAAAACAGTTTCTGTTACCTAAAAGTTTTTCTTCTTCAAAATTTTTTCACAGCATCAGATAAATTTTCTCAATTCTATCCTTAATTTTTTTTTTTATTTGGTTATCAAGCAACCTATCATAAAAACCTCCAATATATTTTATGCCTACTAAGATTCCTATTGTACCTGTTCTGCGAATGACTTCCAGCCCAGGTCATCTGTTCTGTCACATTCATATGTTTCTCCAAGAAGAGGATTGAATGGTTTTGTGGTACGATTGGTGGTAGTGGAGTAAGAAGAGATTGTAAAGGCTGCCACATGGACCAACTGTTCAGCCGAATCCTCACATGCTGCTGCACGATCTAGACAGTCCGAGTATTCAAAATCCTCAGTCAAACGCTGCAGCATGGACAATGGTTCGCTAAAATTTACCTGTTCACAAATAAAATATCTGTATAGTTTATGATCTTGTTTATTAATTAAATAGATTTCCATCCCTTTTGATGACACAAGAAACCAATGTAAACATTTTATAACACAGCATTTAAAGAGGATGAATAGTACATGTATTTTCTTTCCTCTATAAGTAGCAAGAGAGATCAAAATTAACATTTTCAACCTGTCAGTGGGCTGCCAGGATGTCAAAGTTACAGATCAATTAATTAATGTTGTAAGGTAACTTACAGGCATAGGGATAACTTACGGGCATAGGGATAATTTACAGGCATAGGGATACTTTACAGGCATAGGGATAAGTTACAGGCAAAGGGATAACTTACAGGCATAGGGATTTTGGAGAGATCTTTTCCTATACAGTTCTTCATTATACTCCAAAGATTGAGACTGTAGTTTGGCTTTGGTGGGATCGTTGTTCGTCTTACTCGAGCTCCTTTTCGGACTGTGGTGGGTTTAGCTACCACAAGTTGAGTGTCCCCATTCTTCTTCATATCTCCACTGGCATTTCTTTTGACACGAGATTTCACACTTGCTGTAGGCTGGAAAAGAATTTGAACCATCAGAAAATTTTAAAAATACAGTGCTTATCTAGATGAACTACAGTACGTAATTTTACATGTAAAGATGAGATTAGTAATTTTCATGATACTATGCTTCTTAAGTATGGAATTCTTTCTCTGAATATTGAGTTTACAGTATAATACATTCATACTTAAATTTTAGGGGAAAGGGCAAATTCAGAGTTAAATTCTATATCTGAGTGCTACATATATAATACATCACTTTTGATGTGCTTTAACTGTAATGACATGAGCCTCCGTTTAGGTGCTCTATAAAAGCTTTTATGGCAGACCTGTTTGGAGGCCCCCTGTTTAGACTTGTGGGAGTAGACTCTGGCTTCCTGTCCCTCGGATTCTTCAGCTTCACTGCTGAGGTCACTGCTTCGTTCATCAGCCTGGCTGTCAAAACTTAAGCTACTGTCTGTCCTTCTGTAAAAAATCCATGCTTTACAATAATAAGATATAGAATCAAACTTAAACTACTGTCTGTCCTTCTGTAAAAAATCCATGCTTTACAATAATAAGATATAAAATCAAATTTTAGCTGGTTAATTGTGAGACAGTAAACTATCGGACAAGTGGATTATATCTTATCTCAGTCCAAATTCAACAATAGCCAATGGTAACTAATGAAAATAGGAGAATATGCTTGCATATTTATAATTATATATCTATCAATGATCATCAAACTGATTGCTGAGGTCATGCACATGCTACAATTTTAATCAATGCACCATATATTGGCATATATATATATATATATATATATATATATATATATATATATATATATATATATATATATATATATATATATTTATATTTGTGCTTTAGTTTTGCAACATTTATACATGTATATGTTCTGACTGAAAACTATAGCAGACCTGTGTTTTGTTTGAGTGTGAGGGAGAGCAACTTCAAATTCCTCAGCCTGGTAATCCAAAGCATCATAGAAGTCCTCCTCATCTGACCCCCCAGGTCCTACAAAAGAAAAAAGGATACTCATAGGAAATTATCACCATCATACTAACATTATTACATTTTTTAAATATACCGGTACTTTTTGCTGATTAGCATAACTATAAATCCAAAGTTGAAACTGATAGATGCAGTTATTATCAAAAATTACTCCTACAGAGAAATTGTAATATATGTATTAGAAGCACTCTGCAAAATACCAAACTCTCATGGTAGCTAATTTTATTTCACTCTCCCCTTAAGATCAGCCACAAAAAATGAAATCCAATAAACTGTAGATACAGTATTAAAGTACTCTACAGAAAGATTGGTCAATAATTACAACATACTATTAATTATTCAGTGCCTCATATCCCTACATAATATTGTTCCTTTGTGTCTCCACTTCTGTTAAAGGCTTGTTCAGTTTTACTGGCCTAATTTACCTTTCTTGATTGGGGCCTGTCCCATGGATTGTTTGGCTTTGGCTTCCAAAGTAACCTGTTCTTTGGCAAGGTGCTCCACCATCTCCTCTAACTTCATCCTTTGTTCGTGTTCATAATTGACAATCTTCTGTAGTCTCTTCACCTGATTCTGAGCTACATCAAGGTACTCCCCACAAGCCTAAATATAGCACAGATTATCTATATCATACGATCCTCCTTAGATACAACAAGTGACTTCTATTTCTACACTCCATAACTTAGAATCAACAGACATTTCTAGATCATTCTGTCATTTTCATAGAATTACCTGGACAATCCACAGATGGGGTGAGATGTACTAATAAAATTCTATTCTTGGATGTAAATATGTAAGTCTCCAGTCAGTGAAATACAGCTTAATTGACAGTACTTTTTATATCCTCTGTCTACATGAACAAGGTCATACTCCTTCATGATAACACGATAAAGTTTCCTGATAAGAATGGCAATGACATTACCTAACTTCTATTATTTATACTGAAGTTTGAATCTGTAAATGACTTCCATACAGTATAAAAAAGGGGTATAATTAATCTAGTTCATGTAACATGAATGTTTAATCTCACAATATCAATATTTATCAATATCAAGTTAATCATGTTTATGTAGATTTTCTCAAATACAAAATGAGACACTGACTTTAGTCATTACATCACTTAACATTCTAAAATCAAATCTTGCTCTAACATGATTATAATTGATTGCAGAAGGTAAATTTAAATTAGTAAACTTAAATATTTACATTTGCTGTGTTTTTCTACTAAGCCAACTGTGAAATTGATTTGAATGCCATTTTCGTGTATACTCACGCGCAGAAATATGCGGAGAAACTCGCGCTAAAGTGACATCACAATGAAGCTAGAGACATTTATAATAAAAATGTAACGATATAGGGCAGCGAATAATTCAGTCATTGAGTATATTTTTGGTGCTTTTAAACCTGTTAAATGTTAATATAAGGAATGTTTTTAAGTTTAGTGTGCTTCATGAAATATGCCTAGTGACAAGTCTGTGTGATTTACACAACAATAACTCACACCAAACTTAAAAACATTCCTTAAATGTTGATGGAATATTTACAAAAATACTGAGTACAATTTTTTTGCCCAAACCTAAGTATTTATATAGAAAACTAGAAATATGACTCATTTTAAAAACCTGATTCTTTTTGCTCTTCATTGAATTTAACATTCTGATCAGCATTAAGCAATGTCCTCACCTATTGGCCAACCTTTTCAAAGCTGATTGGTTGAGGAGCAGAGTCAAACCAAAGAAGAAACACAAAAAACATTTTACAAATAGATTTTTAATTTGTTCTATTTATTCAAAAAGAAAATTTATATCTATAGTCTCTGACATTACAAACTAAAAGTACCTCTTTTTTGCTTTAGGCATTTAGTGTAAATTAAATCTTGTCAATAATTGGTGCTGTACAGAGTTGGAGATCTACCATATATTTAGATTTCTTGGTTAATGGCTATAATAAGATGATGTGGAGATAATGTAGTGCAATTATTAGCTCCACTACTGCAACTTGATTGGAAGGTGGTTTGTTAAATCCCTGCGTAATATCTAGATACCACTTAAATGTATATCAATTGTTTGTTTTCAATAAATCTATAAGAAAACTATAAGATGCTATAAAATACATTATTTCTAGAATGTAACATGATACATTTCGAAGGGCGATATAATACATTTTGGAGTGTGATATGATACATTTTGGAGTGCTGTCTGAAACATTTTGAAGTGTGATATGATACATTTTGGTATGTAATATGATACATTCTAAAGTGCTATATGACACATTTTTGAGTACTATATGATCATGATGATAGTATGATACATTTTAGAGTGTTATATGATACATTTTGGAGTGTGATACGGCACATTTTGGAGTACACATATGTCATGCCTTATTTGCTTCATTGGGATATTTTTGGTGCTCTATAAACATTGTTTTATCTAAAGCCTACCCAGCAGCAAAACATAAATTTTGGATTACATCAACAACTGTTTAACTTAACAGTATCTGTAACTAGAAAAAATATGACTCACATGCCAATGACCAGCATAGTTTGATGTCCATCTAGTGTTTAATTTAATAGCATTTCTGATACACCTGTAACTCTTTTTTTTAATTAATTTTTCTTCACTGATCAAAAGCAGCATCAACTGAAATGAATTTGTAGTGCCAGTCTGACAATTTTGCATTCAATTGTAAATTTTTGACGTACATCCACTACATCGACAGACAGCTGTGCTGGCAAATTGAACATGCATGTTATTCAATTCTTATATTTACCATACATTTAACAATTTTACAGTAAATTGAAAAAGTAACACTTGAATAAATTATGCCTGTTTAAAGAATACACACCACATTTGTATAGCTAAATTGATGGAGCAACTGTTGCTATTCAATGTGAATGTGATTTTTTTTTTTTCTTTTTTGCTTGTGGTGTTGCACATGTACCGCTTTCAAATTTTATGACATCAAAATAAATTATTTTAACCTTTTGACCTCTCTGTGTTATGATATTATGAATGTCCCAGATTCAACATACTTTATAAGGAAAATACTATAAATATAACATGTTGCAATTAAATTATAAAAGACATAAAGATGTCATTTTCTGGTTTTGACATACTATTCAATACCAAAAGGAGGCTAGGGTATGTAGAGGCTAAGGTTAAAGATGTGGGATGTTTTCAAAAACATAACTGAATTTAGTCTTAAAAATATTTTGTACTTCTAGGAAAAAGTATTAAAGCAATGTTGTAAGGACAAAACATGTAAGTGACTGCTTTATACATGTTCCAAATCTATTTTCCTTGTAACTATCTTCTAAACTTTTGATTGTATCAACATATGATGCTAAAAATAGATTAAGGAAGGTGTTATGAAAATAAGTCAACAATATTTTACTGCATTTTATAAGCAGAAAGTAAATGCTAACATTCCTCAAGATTCATCAAGATACATGTACGGTAGGGTGCTAGCTCATACTTATATAATAAAAGGTAGTAAACTCACATTGATCATAGCATTGGTGGTGATCCTAAACATGGTTGCTCTTTCATTTATGACTTTCAGTTTTCCACCAGCTTCACTAGGGTTATCCATTGACTCCAGCTCTGTTAATGCTCTTTGAAGACCACTGCCGTGCTTGGCAATTAGATCATTGCATGTATTCATGTCCTCTAGTTTAGATGTCAATGTTTTTACCATATTCTGTAACTCATTCTTATCGGGCTCTGGTTCTACTTCTTCATCACTGTCTGCTAAAATAAACAACCAGAGATAAAAACAAAGGTTTCCCTGTCATAAGTCAACCATAATCAAGGAAGAGTCATCCTAGTATGCATCCCTAGACATAATATATTCAAATAAGGTTTATTATCTGAATCTGCTCTAAAAGGAAAAATCATTATTTAATAATTTTTAATACAGTTGAACTTCGGTATCTCAACACTGATATCTCGAACACCATGGATATGTTGAACTGATTTGGAAGTCCCAAACACTTAGCCTCTAAGAATTTTACCCTCGATATCTTGAATCTTCGGATATCTCGAAGTTTTTTCTCGGTCCCATCGAGTTCGAGGTAACAAGGTTTGACTGTATTTTATACATACAATCAGAATATACTGATTATAGGTAGTATCAGAGTAGACTCATAATATTCTTTGGATGCATCATTCCTAGCAGTTTGGTCCAAGCCAGGATTATAGTTTCTTAGGATAGACAGATGTCTGCACTTTCAGGTGTATCATTCATGCAAGTTGGCCCAAGTAGGGTTTACCATGTTTTCAGATGCATTTACTTGGAAAAGGATCTGTTTTGAAAAATTTAAAACCTGCAAATGCAGCAATAGTAGTATACATCCTTTGATGCATCATCCATAAAAATATCAATTCCAAACATTTACTTTAAAAGACCTGCTCCAGAAAATTAGCCAATGTCTATGCTTTTGGTATAGCATAAATTCTCCTCCACTTGCTCCAGATGAGCAGGCAGAGCTATTAATCTGCATTAGTATTAATATATCTCAATTAAAATATATGCAAGTACTTAAACATGATCAAAGAAGTCATTCATCAAAATGGTTTCATGCATGCATTATGAGCACAATGCTTCTCATATACAGGTAAACTTTGTTATCTCGACATCGACGGGACCATCGGAAAATGTCGAGATATCTGAGGTGTCGAGATATCAGAGTTGAGACTTGACGTCCAAGATTTCACTGCATAGCAAAACAGACAAGCTTATTATATGTGCATGACCTCAATATAGACTGTAGCTCAACATATTTCAGAATTCCCTCTATAGTTATTAAAAATCTAAGAAGTTATTTTCAAAATCTTGTTTATAAAACGTGTTCTTAATCGAAATCTTTCTAAATTCACAAAGTTACATCATTCGCGTGTAACTTGCCTTTTTGTCAGAGCAGGATACGAAATGCGCTCTATAAACTTCGAACCGTATAAAGTCGACATCCGCTATACGGAAAAAATTAAATGCGGATTATTTTTTTCTCTTATTTCATTCAGGAAGAATGTATATTAAATTATTTTTTAAGAGATATGTGTATCTAAACTAATGTAGTGATGTTACAAATGCATGAATTACGACTGATTCGGTCAATCTTGTCGTTATTGGATTGTGTCCTGTTGAATACATTTTAACTACAAAAAATCATTAAAACATCTTTTAATTCCTTAGTTTGAATTATTCAGTGTGTTTGTTATTCATTGTAATTTAGTTACCTTTTTCAAATTTAAAAGTTATGGTAGGTTTCGATATAAATAACCGTCTGTACATTTACGCAGAATCACGTAGATTTAGCAATGATATTACCCAAGCTGAACATTAAGCAATTAACTTCTCAAAGACGCCGACGGGGCTTGGGATTCACCTACAAACACAATCTATAGAATTAATTAAGCACCGTGCAGTCAAAACATGGGTGTGAAAGGTGTGAAATTTTGACGTCGAGATACCCGGAGTCGTCCGTGCGTGACAAGCGACCCTATCTGACAAACAGGTAGGTTCAGTAGAGCAGAAAATTGCCGATGTCGACATATACCGGGTAAATTTTGCTCTTGGGACTTTGAATATACGTCGAGATAACCCGGGTTGTCGACATTACCGAGGTCGACATATCAGAGTTTTCGCAAATCATTTATATAGTAAATACTGCCGGGACCGCGGAAGGACGTCGACATATCCCAGGTTGTCGACATATCCGATGTCGAGATACCGAAGTTTACCTGTATTCACAAACTTGTATGTAGTATTTAATAATATTCTTAGAATAATGATGTTAAATTACCAGGTTCATTAAGCTTGATAGCATCAGCTTTGGCAAGTTCTAAGGCTGTCACCCATTTCTGACGCTCTACTTCTGAAGTTGCCTTGAGGTAAAATGTGTGGGTGCCACTGTTGGAGATGACTATTGTATTGGAGTCTTCTGTGTGGATGTATGCATTTGCGAGATTAATTGTACCCCTGCAAGTATGAGCCATTTCTGCCTGATTTCTGAAATAAAATAAAAATAGGCCATAATCAGATTAGTAATTATAGGCTCCTGTGAGGAAATCAGATAGACCCCCCCCCCCTCCCCACATACACTTAATATGCTATTTTTAAAATCATTGAAGTATACGCACAGTTTGCAAGACAATGCAAGTAAAACTAATAGTAAATTGTGTTATTAACTGGCAATGGTATGATTAAAACCAAGGTGAATGAACAACATGTACGAGCTATAATCAGTAACACTGCAGCAAATTTTTCTTGGAGATAAACTAAGATTACAGATGTAAACTATGTCTATATATAATGAGATGATTAAAGATATTAGCTTAAGCACAGCTCTGGAGGTGGGGCAACATTTAAGAAACCTAAAAACTAGCATAGTTGTGCGAGGAGGTTAGACAAAAATTTACAAAACTTTAGATATGAATTGCCGCACAAATTGTACTTCTTCATTATCTAATATGAATGGATCACAGTTTCTATTTAAAGGAGCAAAACTGATTTGCATCCTGACCTGTAATAGGAAAGAAGTCCATTTTGCAGAACAAACCAACGCTTCTGGTAACCTCTCAAATAGTTTGTCCACTTGTACAACCAGCCACGATAGTTGGACTGGTGTACAGACCGATTATCAGACATCCTCCTGATGCCAACAACTATACTTCTTTAATTATTGAAAAAAATTATATGTTTTCCTTGATATTTCTCATAAGATGGCTGTTCGTACACGTCACACACTCCTGTAATGATGCTAAATCCGACTTCCGTTTTTAATTATACTACTTATTTTACTTCGAATTTAAGAAAGATCATGCCGAGTGTTTCGGTTCTTGTACAAGAAATACAATTCTTTTTAATGTTTGTTTTATACTTGTGTTAAGCATCGCTTTCATTTCGAACTATTTTATCAACGATTCCTCCGCGATGTAAACCTAGAGGCAAGGGTTAGTCTAGAAAGTCAGCAGAGAATTCGTCATTTCGTGATCATATTGACCTTTACACCCAACAGAAGCAGTAAGACATGAGACATTATCTTTATATATATCTTAAAAATCCCACAGATTACTGTTCTGTTTTGTAAATAACTTTTTTTTATTATGTTATTTGAGGGGTGCCCTAATCACCCAAAATGATCATTGACCTGCACTAATGTAACACCAGAAGAGTTTGATATTTTATATTATTATACCTCTACTGATTTTTTCCCTATATAACATTACATCATTATCGTTAGATGTGACTAATTCCCTAGAAATCGTTATGTATGGACTAATCCCTGTGCGGTAGTCATGTTAGAATGATCTAACTGTGTCTCGGGACAGGCCCTCACTACAGTTAGAATGCCTCCCATATACCTGTAATGTAGCAGAAAATTGCAGAATCGCTCCGAAACGATTTTGGAGAAAATTTATGAAGTTGCATTGAAAATAACAGTCAAATTAATCATAACAAACCCTTTTGAGACTGTAAATATAACCTTTCATCTAAAAATTTAATCCATATAATGGAAGAATTCAACACTTTTTCACCAACGTTTTTTACTGAAATTTACTCGTTTCAAATTTACACACCATGTTGACATTCGGAACTCTCGGGATTTTTCATAGTAAATGCATTGAGTTAGAGTTATCTCCCGTATTTTCTTTGCTACAGAGACAATACACGGAACGCATTCTATTGTTAAACCGGGTCTGTGGGACATTTATCATTTTAACGATAGAACATTCTATCTATAGTCATGTGAGCTAATCCCTGTATCAAAAGCTAATTCCCTGTTATCCATAATCCTCTAGATTTTACTTTTACATTGGTATGATATGTGAATGGACTAATCCCTGTGTGTTGGTTCTGTGAGCTAATCCCTGCAATGAAATCACGCTATCTGAATCCTCTAAATTTTACGTTTGTATCGGTATAATAAAACAGTTAAAAGTACATCATTGAGGCATCGTCGCAAGCCATGGGTTTTGTGTCCATTCTATTTCCACAAACCCGTGGCTGTCTCCTACAAATTTCTCTCATTCTCATGAATATTAATAACATACATTCAACCAATGGAATAACATCTGACGCCTGGAGTCAGAACCAATGAAAATGATCAGTCTATCTTGTATTTGGATGTAACCATAACCACGAGCTGTACATCAACTTCGGTTCGAATTTCCTTTCTTAACGAGTAACGCTATTCAGTGTTCTCACACGTCTACATTCGAAACCCTGTATTTTAATGTAAAACCTTGTAAGTATTTTAGAATATACGTTACTCACCTCTGTTCTTTAGGATCTATCGTATTTTTTTCAATAAATCTGCCACGCATAGCAAACATGATTTCATTATGGGCGCCGCCATTTAAGCGTACCAAAAATTGCTACAGAGTGATTTCATTGGTCAAGGTAAATCTGGCGTCACTTAATAAATATTCAATGATTCAGTCGCGAGAACGAGAGAATTTGGTAGGAGGCAGCCACGGGTTTGTGGAAATAGAATGGATACAAAACCCATGGCTTGCGACGATGATCGTTGCGGGAGTTAGCAAGACTTTAGCCAGGTCCCCTGGCTCACCCTTGCCAAGGCAGGAGAGCCAGGTGGATTACAATCTATGCTGTCCCCTGATTAGTCAGAACAATCGCGCTAAATCATTGGATTTTGAGCCCTTGCCATTAACCACGGAAATAAATATAAACGTCACAATGATACATTACATCGACGGCATAGAAAAATACGACGTCACAATGAACTTCTACACTGGAAGCGCAGCTAAATACGACGTCACAATGGGCTCAGATTCAGGGCAGATTCGCCTTGAATCCATTGTAGTCCACCTGGCCCTAGTGACATGGAGTACACAAAGCAAAACAGGGACAGGGAACCAGGCTAGCAAGATTCCAGTTCCCCTCGACCAGGACTATTTCCCTCGGCTTCGCCTCGAGAAATAGTCCTGGCTTTGGGGAACTGGAATCTTGCTAACTCCCGCAACGATATACTTAAATTTGATACCATAATATCTATTTTCTTGATGAAAAAAAAAAACAATACTCTATGGCCTCCTGCAGGTGACAGTTATGAAATGAGATTTGTTCTTCTGATCAGCAGGTCCTGGCTCCTAGGCCACAAAACTTAAGACGAACTCATTTTTGATCTCAGTCTCACTTTTACATAAGGAGTTAATAGTGGTAATTAAAAGTGAGATTGAGATCAAAAGTACATGTAGGTCTTCTCAGTTTTAAGCATAAGCTTTTGATTTAGCTTATATATATAGGTTGAATGAGCTTTTATACCTTAATTTAATTTAATTCAGAACATCTTGATAAAGCTATTTATATGAAGTATTTCACAGTTTTTTTGTTTTTTTTTCGGTAAGAAAGAGACAAATAATTGCAAGGATATGACCAAGAGTGCTGAAAAATAACACATTTAAGAAAAAAGTTGGAAAAATAGCTAAATCAAGGTATTCTGGAAAGCATAATAAAGGTATTTAGCTAATAAGAACTATATAGCTTAATCAGTTAATCGAGAGATTGTCCTAGACTTGTTAAATTATTTCCTTTATTAAGTTTTGGTAAATTAACTATTTTATGTATAGCAAATCTATATCCTGGCTTATGAAATTGCTATCCACCCCTGTTTGAACATACACATCAGTATTATATATATATAAGAAAAGAAGATTACTCACTGTCAATTCTCTGTTCCCCTTAGGAAAGACTTTATAATAGTTCCTGTCAAGGGTTGATGAAAGACTTCACTCAAAACCAGTGGATAAGTGAAAAATTCCAAGTCTTTCACTAAATTAAACATATAACTAAATTTGTAAATTATTATAATATTTTTAGATCAATTTTTTACTCTTCACAGGTTATTGCAAAAAATATGGATTGAAGGATGCATTAATGAAGTCTGTCATTTGATTATTAACCATGACAACTGTGACCAGCGATCAGTTTCTTCAGTACACACTCCTCAGTAAAAATGTCCTGTCATTGGACGAACAAGAATTATATGAGCTGTCACAGTTGGCTGGAGTCGTGTTTGATCCCAGCGTCTTCAAGTAAGTATTTTTTTTTCCACTGTTCCTATCTTTTCCACAGCCTTGGGGTAAAAATGTGTTGTGACTAAAAATTGAGATACTGACCTAGTTTGCTGGGCCCCAGAGGAGGGTATAACATATTTGGAATGGATCATAAGTGGAAGTTTTATTCTATCAATTATTAAAATTAAAAAAGCTCTAACTTTATTCTGTTTGTTTTAAAAATCCTCAGACATGCGACAGGCATGGGGGGGGGGGGGGGGGGGGGGTTCATGATTTTTTTTCCCCAAATTTCCATAACCCTTCAAACTTTAGCACATACACAATCTAGGCTTCATAAAAAAGAAAAAAATCCAATAGAATGTGACAAAGAAAAGGAAGAAAGGTGAAAAAAATTTACACCCTTGAAGCACTGCCAAAATAAAAAAAATCTCATGTGCATTTCTTGGTGGGATGACCCACTATGCATTGATGTTTGGACACTGTGTGACTGATCCTGATGCTTACTAAGCACATGAAAAATATTTTTTTCTTGATGCATTATTTAGTATTTATAGATGCTTTGGTGTATAAAAGCAAATTGCACATAGAAGTAGAATGTACCAGTAGTAGCAATTTTCTCAAATACTGCCCTCTGTAATGATTGTTGTAAACTTTTCACATTTTCATTTTCTTCTCCATAACCACTGAGCCAATTTTACCAAAGCTTTCCACATAGCAGCCTTAGGTGAAGGGGATTCAAGTTTGTTCAAATGAAGGGTCATGCCCTCTTTCAAGGGGAGATAATTAAGAATTAGTGAAATGACATGGCATGTTTCAAAACTCTGATGAAAAATAACTGGACCAGAAAGAATGAATATTATTTAAAGCTTCATTACATAGTACAGATTCAGATTTGTTCAGATCATGACCCCCAGGGTTAGGGTGGGGCCACAACAGGGGATCAAAGTTCTACACAGGAATATATAGGAAATATCTTTAAGAATCTCAAGAATAGCAAAGCCATCATTAGTAATATACAGAAGCATCTTCAGGTAGTTTTGATTCAATTTTGTTCAAATCATGACCCCCACAGGGGTAGGATGGAGCCACATTAGGCAATCAAAGTTTTTCATGGGAATATGTAGGAAAAATCTTTTAACATCTTCTCAAGAATAGCAAAGCCAGGATGAGTCATATTAATATGGTAGCAAGTTTGTTCGAATCATCGCCCCGTGGGGTGGAGTGATACCACTTATATTTTTAAACTTTTCTTTACTAAATTCATTTCTGCCTTTTCTAGTAAAAAGTGCTTAGGGGAGCAATGTGGCCCATAGGCCCCCTTTTATATCCTACTCAATGCAAATAATATGCATGAAGCATATTTTTTGAATTCATTTTTCTAGAATCATCATGGATTTGCTGAAGATGAATGTTGCTCCACAGGCCATCTTGCAGGTTCTTAGGAGTATATCTGGACAGAGGCCAAAAGTGATTAGTTCCCCTGAGACTTCTCAACGTTCTCACCAAAGTGAGGCTGATCGTAGAGTGAAAAGCCGCAGTCGTGTTCCGAGTGCTAGAAAGCCAGAGGCTAGAAGATAAAGCATTGCTGCTCTCTCATAACAAGCTTATTATAATTAGGAGTTCAGACTTACATATATAAGAAAGACCATTTTATAACTATGGTCATAATCATTATTGAAACTATGTAGATTGATGCAGACTATTGTACATTGCTTGAAAGCCATGAATAGTTTAAGTGTTTCTTCTTCTTTTCATATATAAAAATTTTAAAAGAGTACGAGTAAAAATCCCTACCAGGTATACAAACTTGTATGAGGATATATTGAAGGGAGGGGAGCTTGTTATTGAAGTTGTGTGTGTTGAAACAAGCATATGAGTAGATTTTTTAAAAACCTTTTTATACATTGAATTTGTAATAAAGTGATATGAAATTCAGAGGTGGATTTTAGAATTAAATTATTTGGTAATTTGGGACCACTTGTATATTTAAACTTTTAAATACTGAACTGATTTCTGCTTTTTCCTGACCAAAGTGATCAGGTGAACAAAATGGCCCATGGGCCTCTTGGTTGAGTTTATGTAATGCGCAAAAACTGCATTTTTTCCAGAGAAAAATATAAATTAGCGGACCTTTGTTTTCGTGAATAAAATTTAATAAACACCCTGTTTCCAAATAACATACAATGGCCAATATTCAACATTTTTTATCAATAGCTCCTTTTCCACGCCAATGGTTTCATGAGGTATCAACTTGTGAGCGCTAAGATGTTCTGCTAGTTTCTTTTTATCTTGAATATTGTGTTCTGCCCAAGGCATAATAATCGCGAGGACATCAAAATTAGCGAAAAAATCGTCTGCACAAATCAGCAATTTCTCTGCATTCTGATGAAAAGCTTCAATACGAACGATCACTCTTGTCTGGGATTCCAGTGTTTCCAGATTTACTAACTGGTCAAGCGAGAATCCGTTTTCTTTGACACACGAAATTTCTTCGTCTATTACAAGTATATGGTCTGGAGAATATGAATTAAACTGCTCAGTTTGCATGGAAGAATTATTTTGAATTATAGTCACATAGGGTTGTGCATTTGCAAACTCAACAGACGCACAAAGTCCATAAATATTTCCTACATTAGATTCTACACTGATGGCAAATTTGCCTATTTTTGCGGCTAAAATGCTGAATCTTCCATCACCTGCTCCAACATCTATTAATACAGAGTTGGTATGGAAGGCAAGATTGCTGTGAACAAGTTTAAGGAGTTCGAATTGTGTCTGTTTTGCAAAATCTTTCTTTTCTAGCGTATTCTGATTGTTTGCCACCATGTGTAAAAGTAATTTTCCAGCAGATGATTCAACACTGTTCTGTATTGTAAGTGGCTTCTGCTGACAGACATTTTTCCTCCTCCACTTCGAATTCTCCCTGACAAAAACTACTACCGTGTTCGAATCGTCGTTCCGAGAGACACCGGCGTTGTTAGTTAAATTTTCAACGACTTCCTGTTCGTCGTAATCACCAAAATCCGGGTCTTTAAATCTATCATAGTCCAGCGAATCTAGTCGTGGTAGGTTAGGTACCACAATTTGTACTTTGTTTGGTGTACTTGGACGAGGAAGTTCAATCAAAAACAGAAAACAGGTGAAGAACACAGCACAAATACAAGACAACACACACACAATCGTCCGTTTCTTTGAACACCGTAACTGCATGACACATCCACCTGGTAATGAAAGAACATAAGTATATGTTTTATTCTAATCCCTTTAGAATTTTAGTGATTATGTTCATTTACATAAATATACATATGCCTTAATTATACTAGTGTTTTAAAAAAGTACGTTTCGTAGTCTATGTGGGAAACCATGGAAACAACGTCCACTTATCCCCCTCCCACTGCCTCCGTGATATTCGTCTTTTCAAGTCAAAATTCCCATTTCCATATGAAATATGTGCTATCCTATTAAGAAGTGACACAAATGACTTTTAATTTAGATTTATACATGCAGTAGAGAGCATACAGGGAAAAATAAGTTCGAGAACTACAACAAACTGTGATTTTTACAGGTTTTATCTTATATTAATACAAGGGTAAACTGTAACATAATATATTGATTTTTATATACACATACAGCCTCATTTGACGGTCGGTTAATTTGATAAAAAAAGATCGATAATACAGAATTTTATCTTACCTTACACGTCAATGTTTTTCATACTAAAGTATGTGTCCAGTCAAGCGCGGAGTGAATCTGTTTTGCTATGCTTAAACTAATAAATATTAAAAATTAGGAAGGTTGTCATTGTAGGGAACACCCCCCCCCCCCTCGCTTACCCTTCATTTTCAAGACACTGGAAAATGAAAAGATGTTTTTAGTATGCAGTTTAGTTTAGAATCTTTCATCAAAACTGAGATTTTTAATTTATGAGTGATGTATGACGAGCTCATTTCGTAAATTAACTGCCGTGTGGAAAAATCGTTATAACTGAATCTTTCGAGAATAAACACGTTAAGAACCCTCTCTACACTACACACTAAAGAGTTCTGATTCTATGGTATTTTTCTGCAATTAGAGTGATCTGCTCTTGGATCTAAATTCCAATAAATAGAAATTTACAGTATATTACCTAATTTGTAATCAATACAAGTATTCTTCATATTTCAAAGGGCCAAGATAAATTAATTGAACACATTATCTCCATGTATTTTCTTCATGGAAGTAAACAACTGTGATTTCTGTTCACTGATACTGTGTTGTGTTTGAACATTTTTCCCGGGGGTAAATGCCACGTACCATATATTAAAAATTAAATAGATAAGCCCAATATTTACAACTTTATTCAATATAATTTTCTCGATGTCAAAAAAAACATTTTGCACTGGTGTATAGAGGGTCCTTAATTTTTAATTATATCGCAAAACTTTCGCAAAGAAATGCGTACTTATTGCGTGAAAATGCAGAACTTCCGCTATTTAACGCGCAAGTTTCGCACACAACACAGAACTTTTGCGTTATATTTAACGCAAACTTTCGGGTTATAAGCTTAAGTTTTGCTGAATATTTTTATGGTAATAATAATGGTTGATACAAGCTGAGTGAGAATACTTCATCTTTTTATTCATCCAAGTTTTTAGTGCACCTAATGATATAAAATGCATTTTAACGACCAAAAAGCGTTTCAAGTACACTTTTAAAAACACTGATTCAACTTCAGTTACATTGAAGAAATAAAACTTTTATTAGTTCAATGTAACTGAAGTTGAATTTATTATAAAAGATTTTGTTTTGTACAAATGATAGGTTTTTAAAAAAAAAAAAAACGATACAGGCACATGTCCCAGAAACTGACACGATCTTTGAAAATAAAATAAGCTTTCAACGTGCTCGAACGTGAAACAGAGACCTTTACGTAGATTATGAAGTCCAACGTTCTGTTCCGAAGGTTACGTTTACTTGTAAATAAAGTTGTACAAGAATTACTTACAAAAAAACAGAAGTCTCTGATGAGACTTTAACTCTACTGGTTTTTACCTAACAAAGGTAGAGAAAAGTTACTGTAGCACTTGGACTTGAAACTATGACAACAACAGTCAATCTCTTTTTGAGTTATCTGGATATTGTAAATCGTAAAAGTTATAGGTCAGCTTTGTGTATATTAAGGGTATCCAGTCATGATTTGGAAGTAGAATGTGGCAGGTATAGAAATATTCCGAGAAATGAAAGAGTATGTAAATTTTGTTTAAAAACTAAAGGAATTCTTTGTATTGAAAATGAAGTCCACTTTATCGAATATTGTGATCTGTATAAAGATATTTTCAAAATATCTCTTCTTTTTGGGAAATAAACAAAAATTATTTCAATATGGATGATCAAATATCTTAATGCTTTGGCAAAGTATATTTTCCTATAGCTTTCAAAAGAAGAGACGTTTTTATGAAGTCTGAAGAAGATTGATATTTACTACTTGTATAAAAAATTGTAAGGCTAAAAGTGCTATGTTTTGTCTTATGTTTGAACCGGACTATGTAAATACATGTGATTTAAAATGTATTGTACTTTGGGCCGATGGCTTTGAATACTCTAGTAAATATATGATTGATTGATTGACAACAGCAATAAAATAATAATCCTTGCTTTTATAGTCTTTTTTGTGACAAGTTTTATTGTAATTGAACAAAAATTAATGTAGGAGTAGCCTTTTGAAAGAAATTCACATAAATATATCCTTTTAGAAACCATGGCAACATCATTTATTAAAATAAAAAAAAACTGATAAAAAGGATTAAGTATCTAAGTGAAGTCTCCACTAGTGTACCAAGTTTTTTATTGAAATCAGTCCAAAACTGCAGGAGGAGTATAATTTTAAAAGAAATTAATAATCTTTTTTTTTTTAATTTTTAGTAACTGGAAACAGATTTAAACTGCAGGAAAAGTAGCATTTTGAAATAATTTCAGATAAAATTCTATTTTTAGTAACCATGACAACCCCGTTCATCCATATCAAAAATAGATATATAGAATCATTTATTTTCAAGTAGTCTAATTGTGTATCAAGTTATATCTAAATTGAACGAAACCTGTAAGAGGAGAAGCATTTTGAATGAATTTCACAGACATTTCTATTTTAAGAAAAATGGCAACCCCGTTCATCGAAAACAAAAACTGATATAAAGAATTATGCATTTATGTGTAGTACTAATTATGTACTAAAACTGCAGGAAGAGTAGCATTTTGAAAGAATTTCACAGAAATTTCAATTTTTAGTAACCATGCAAGCCTGTTTTTCCAAATCAAAAACCGATAAAAAGAAAAAAAAGTGTGCCTAGTTATATTCAAATTGGACCATAACTGTAGGAGGAGTAGCATTTTAAAATGTTTACAGACAAACAGACGAATAGCTAAACAGACAGTCGGACGACGGACACCATACTAACTGCCTGTATATAAGTATTCTGGTCTCTGACCAGTAGAGCTAAAATGACACAACTGCATGTCACAAAACATCATTTCTGATTTTAGAAACAATTGTCATTGAATAATAAGAATCTTTCATTTTAAGTTCAATCAAACTGGATATCAAAATTGTAAACAAAATGATGGCAATGCAAGTGTATCTATTCCCCTTTCCAGGATTTAAAACATCCGCTCCTCAGCCAGGAACAATAATTATTTTAAAAATCATTATTTAATTCAATAAATCTCCAAATTAAGCTTGAAATTGAAATATTTTTCGTGCAACATTTTTCATTCTATTCATCCTATGATTCAAGGTTTTTTGAAATGTTAGAAGTAATAAATGTGAAGATACGGAACATTGGTCAATCTCATCAACTCAGTAAACAAAACGAATCGTGAACAGGACAAGAACACGGAGCCCTGGAAACACCAGAGGAAGAGTAAGCACCCCCTGTTGACAGGTCACACCCACCGTGAGC